TGATTAAACTGTCAAGATGGACGATCTGCAAATGGTCTGTTCGTATTATAGTTTGGATTGACATTGATATCATTAATTGGTACCGGGTCTACTGGTCTAAACACAGATAATTTAATGGATTGAATGTCTTTCTCGATAGCAGATATTCTGTTACTAATCTTATTTTGTTCCATTTGGAAACGTGACATGGCTATTTTGAAAATGGTTACATTCAGTTTGAAATCGTTTAATGCTGTTTGTGTGCAAATTTTTTATAATAGCACTTATGTCTTCATTTTCTGAATACATAGAAGCGCTTTGTCAGATGCTTGGGTATTCGATGCACCAAAGTTGTTCGTAGTTTAGTGTATGGCTGTGAATGCACTATATTGATTGTGGATGTACTTTGTGATGTAAGCGCATTCATATGTGTGGGCGTGCAATGAGGAATAAGTGGGTGTGGGTGGTTATCATAGCCTAAAACACTATAGGTTTGATCTAAAGGAATCACTTGCGCTTCACTATCCCTATTTTGTACTACAGTGCTATTCTGGGGCTCATCTACTATATCAACCGGGTCTAAACCTCGAGTTTCTAATGCTATAATAAAAACATCTTCTGGAATAGGTGGCTCTGGTGGTTAGAGGATGGNAAAACATCTTCTGGAATAGGTGGCTCTGGTGGTTAGAGGATGGTGGCTGGATTGCTCCCTTGCGCCATAATTAAAGCCTCAAGAATACAGAGTAGATTGTTGCGACTATCGATGTGAGGAATATTCTTGAAAGCACATTCGCGTTTAATCTCGATGAGAGACATTTTTTCAAATGTTTTATGGAAAGAGGAAAGAAGAGAGACATAAAAAAACTAAATTAAAGTCAACTAAATGAACGAAATTTTTAAAAGAAATCGATAGTTGATTAAGACTTAAAGAAATGTGTGTGTATCTGTTATGTGTTATTGTGTATTATGTGATTTTATTAAATAAAAAAAACGGTAGCACAGTATGGATGTGTCATAGTTGGGACAAGTATACATGATATCTGACAGTGATTAAAATCACTACCATAAGAAACGCTTCGATGCAAATCTGTAGATAGTGTTTAATTTAACGAATTGGTAGATTATTTCAAAATCAACAATAATCCTTATTCCCTTAATTTTATTTCGATTAGTTATTTGATTTATAATTATAATATATGAATAAATACTAATTATAGTTTTTAAATTTAGTATGAAATTGATATTCAATAATTTAATATTGTAATTTNCTAATTATAATTATTAAATTTAGTATGAAATTGATATTTAATATTGTAATTTAAACGGAGAAATTATAAAAATAATAAAGAAGTTATATTTTGCTTTACTTTTACGTGTATAAAAATTTAAAGGGCTTGATACAATAATTTTCAATAAAAACTGTTTGTTACTATAAAAAAATGCACTGGACTACAAGGAACTTTCATCAGAAGCAAAAATATACTTTTCTAAATCAACTTTTCGCTGTTTTCAAATCTGCAATTAGACTTTTTCTATCACTTCTAATTTTTTATATTATTACTAATTACACATAAAATAATAATTAAAAGAAAAAAAAATTTGTTTTCAAATTATTACTGATTTGATTTTTAATATGTTAAAAATAATCAGTCCAAATTTTCAATTTTAACCTATTTTTTTGGTTCTTTAAAGTTGATGAAAAATTTTTGATAAAGATTTATGAAAGTTTATAGTAAAATAAATTGAATATATTACCATAACTTTTAGCTCAATTACAAGTTTAAAATTGACATCTAGGCCAGTCAACAAAGGAAAAATTGCGGAAAAAATTTTGTTTTTTTAAAAGTTGAATTAAAATATGTATAATGACATACTAATAGTCCTCAAGATTGGAATTGAGCTTTTTTTT